GTCATGCCCTATGCCACGGGCTGACCCAGGTACACGGTGCAGGGTTTTGTGCTACGCCCCTGCAGGTGGTGTTTGACCCCATCTTTCTAGTTCAATATGTAACCTGTGTGATGATAAGCAGCAAATGTAATTCTCAAATGATCTTTGTAGAGTCTTTCCGAGGTGGACAATTTATTCAGAATCTAGTACTTAAATCATACTAACATTGTCTCTTGTTTTCTTTAAACTTGACAAAACCAAATGAAAAGAAATTTGAGCAAAGGTCCAAAATATTCTTACAAGAATAGAAATATGAAGAAACAGAAGACTAGACACAGTATTAAGATTAAGATTAGGTTTAAACACTAGCTTCTACTTTCTTACAGAATAGATTTTAAAGTGCTGCCGCTAGTCTAAGAATCCCTCAGGGCCAAAATCCATTTCTGATCTCTTTGAGTAGGGCTCTTAGAGCTTGACGAAGCAGCCAACCAAACAGGAAGAAGCTACTTTTAGCTACTGTGCTGAACACAGATGGAGCCCACATCCGGATGGTTTAAAATATGCCCCAACTCTGGCCACAGACACATCTAAATGAAAAACTCTTTACTCTTTAACGTTTTTCCAATCTATTCTCTTTATATGTCATGCCATTTTATGTATTTTATTTGATTTTATGTATTTTTTAAATATAATTTTATTCTATGTCATGTCATGTGGTGTACATTGAACACTTCCCTTTTATGCCTTTTATGTCTTCTCTTATTATAGCAGCCTCTTCCTCCTTGTCGAGAAACCAGTTCACCTGCAATTATCCCATGATTATTCCACCGCTTCTGCATATCACAAATGCTGTACAGTTTAGTAAATTAGATTAAACACATGGCTGTTACATTCAAATACCCACATGGCAACTTAATAGCAAAAACCATCTTGTTATTATGAGCGATGGGGTCCAAGATCACAAAATGTTCTGCCAAATTTACAGAAAGCTCTGGTTTGGTCACATGAGATGTCTTTTGTTTCGTCTGCGCTTTTCTCACTTGTTTGAAGATAATAAATGGGATATTATGTACTTGCTGGCACAGCCAAGGGTCCAGGAAGCTTATCTTGGCTGATTTAAAAATGGATCCACAATTATGCTCCTTGTGACTGCAAAAGTTAATGTGTTGCATTAAAACCAAAGCAGCTGATCCAGAACAACCGTATGAGCTTTACATTACTCTGCAAAGACAATCAGAGGACACTCTACAGTAGCTTGTCAAACTTTACAGGCTTTACCAGTCATGCTACATGTGCCGTCTGTGTCTGTGTCTTCACAATGAACATTAGCATTGCTCCTGTGCTCAAAGCGTAGCAATGCAGCTCAGCTAGAAACTTGACACCTGTGAGACACGTGGTTTGTGAGAGGCCACCAAGAACTATTTAAGGCTTTTGGAATGACTCACCTTTTCTCCTTTTCTACACCACCAATGGTCTGTGCATCTCTGAGTCTCTGACTGGCAAACAGCTTATCAAACATCTTATTGCCTAGTAGACTGTTTATTGCAACTCGTGCATCAAGGCCTTATCGCTCACCAACAGTAGAGAAGAATGAGGAAAACCAACTTCTGTTGATAGAATAGAAATTTGATTGCTATCAATAAAAAAACTGCTGTTACAGAGCAAGATAAAGTAGAGAGGAAGTGCAAGTTTAACACCCAGAATTCAACTATGTACATTATCTGGACAAGGGGGTGGGCGATGGCGCAATGTAAAACACACGCCTTTAGCGTGAGAGACCTGGGTTCACTTCCCACGCTAGGATCCTTCCACCATTGTGTCCCTGAGCAAGACACGTAATCCCTAGTTGCTCTAGAGGCTTGTATAGCAATTGTAAGTAGCTTTGAATAAATGTAATGTAAATTTAAAGAAACAAACATAGAGTTCAACATCAAAACATTTCATCACCTTTGCTCCACTATGAGGACAAGTAGACAGCTTAGTTGTGTAAGTTACATATTATAACATACAAGAAAATAGTGATATTTTTGGTATATACTGTTGCTGCGTTTAAGACAAGACACAGAATAAGAAGTTGTTATGTATGAGACTTCAGTTCGCCAGCAGACAGCAGTACGCTGTAGCAGTTAAGGGCAACCCTGACATAACAGTGTGGTTTTGTGAGAGAGGTCCATCTAAATGTCAACTGAGGAAGTGCTGCCTTTAAAGAAGCAACATCTAAAATGTCACAGCCGGAGTCCATTACCAAGAACTCTTGTGTCACTCTTTGTCAAAACCTACAAATGAAAAAAGTCTAATTTTATCATCAAACACTGTAAGTATTTTTTGATTCATTACAATAAGTTAAAAAGTCATTATTAGCAATTACTGAAAGCTATTTTAAAAAAATGTTTTTAATCTATTTTAAAATAAGTCTACCATTTGCCTAAACTCTGCCGCAAAGACACCTGGAAGTGGAAAAACATCCAAAAATTAAATCTTTCACAACTTACACCACATCTTAAAAATCATTTCATACAGATGCTGAAGGGTACATTTATCACGCTTTGTCAAAGCAAGAACATGTTGGGTACACAGAGGCGTAGTGTTCTCATGACACACCACCACACACGTACACAAGCCGGAACAGGCCCTAAAATTAATAATTTACTGAAACCTAACCCCCCCCCAGGACTCCATCTGTTCAGTAACTAAGCTGCTTGTATTGGTGAGGAGGAAAGACAAAGCTCCAAAATCCAAGAGTTAATTTAGTGGTCATTTTACAACACAAGGGTGTATAATGAAATTTCTTTATGTTATCTGACTTGCAGAAGTATGCAATAGCACTCATGCAGAAAATGTATGCTGTACACTTGTCAGTCAGTGTCTAGAAATAAGACACAACAGATGAGAAGATCATTGGGGACGATTAAATATTTCAAGTAGAGCTGCAACGATTAATCCCTCAGTCTTCAACTATTAATTAAATTCTCTTTCCAGCTTGTGAAAGTAATGTAATGTAAATATTTTCTTGCTTCTTAACTTCTTTATGACTGAATATCTTTGGGTTGTGGACAATCCATCCTTGGCTTAGGGAAACACTGATCAACATTTTTCACCATTTTATGACATTTAATAGACTAAAAAACAAATTGATTAATTGATCGGTTATTCAACAGATTAGTCAACAATGAAAATAATCGTTTGTTGCATCAATGGTTTCATGCTGCAGTTATGTTATCAATAAAAAAATGAAGATTAGTATCCTGTACAGCACAAATTGTAACAGATCGTACGTCTACAATGGAAACATTTTGGCAAGTTCATCATTCCTGGATCTTACACACCTTCTGGACACAGGAATCTTTTGTCAGAAAGAAATTCTTCGAGTTCTTGACATGATCAGGATGTACATGCCCCGAGAGGCTGTTCTGTTCTGTAGATTCAGAGAGTGTTCAGTGGATGCAGAAAAAGTTGACTTAAGCTGCACAAACAAGTTTCCATGTTGTGCAGTCAAAGAGCCCCTTTAGACTTTTTATGGTCTGATGTTGCAGATTCCAAATGTGTTTTTACTTATTGGTTCACTGGGCAGAATGAGGCATATGCAGTGTTTGACACTAGAAGGCTGTTTTCACATTCATCTGCTGAAAGTTTAAAGTTTCTCTGTGAATTAAATATTAGAGATATGCCTAGTGCTGCAGACTGATCTGATCTTCATCTAAGTCACAACAATAGACAAACACAGTCTGCTTGAACTAATACCACACAAACTATTTTATGTTTTCATGTTTTTAACGAACACAGTATGCATGTAATCATTAACAGTGCAAGGTGGTGAAAGTATGTGAACACCTAGTCAAATTACTACTCCAAAAGCGAATGCATCAATGAGACAAGATTGTAGGTGTTGGTAGCTATAAACACATCACACTTGTGTGCCCTGCCCTATAAAAAAACACGCACCAATTCATGTGAACCATGAACCTCAACCTCAAACAAAAGAGCACGCAGAAGACCTAAGGTTAAGGTTAATGGTTGACTTGCATGAAACTGGAAAGGGTTATAGAAGTATCTCTTAAAGCCCTGATGTTCATCAGTCCACGGTAAGACAAATTGTTTATAAATGGACAAAGTTCAGCACTGTTGCTACCCTCCCTAGGAGTTGCCTTCCTGCAAAGATGACTGCAGGAGCACAAAGCAGAATGCTCAATGAGGTTAAGAAGGATCCTAGAGTGTCAGCTGAAGACTCACAGAATTCTCTGGAACATGCTAACATCTCTACAATATGTCAAACAAGGAACATGATTACAGTCCATGGGAGGACACCACAGAGGAAGCCACTGCTGTCTAAAAAAACAACAACAACACATTGCTGCAGGTCTGAAGTTTGCAAAAGAGCACCTGGATGTTCCACAGCACTACTGGCAAAATATTCTGTGGACAGATGCCTCAGGGCCTGGAAGGGCTGACTGATGGAAAAATAAATTTGATCAAATAAATAAAGTTTATCAAGAAACTTTGCAGGAGAATGTAAGACCATCTGTCCGCCAATTAAAGCTCAACAGAAGATGGTGATGCAACAGGACTACGACCCAAAGCACAGAAGTAAATCAACAACAGAATGGCATCAGCAGAAGAAAATACACCTTCTGGAGTGGCCCAGTCAGAGTCATGACCTCAACCTGATTGCGATACTGTGGCATGGCCTCAGGAGAGCGATTCACACCAGACATCCCAAAAATATTGCCGAACTGAAACAGTTTTGTAAAGGGGAATGGTCCAAAATTCCTCCTGAACGTTGTTCAGGTCTGATCTGCAACTACAGGGAACGTTTGGTTGAGGTTATTGCTGTCAAAGGAGGGTCAACCAGATATGAAATCCAAGGGTTCACATACTTTTTCCACCCTGCTCTGACTGTTTACACAGTATGTTCAATAAAAACACGAAAACATATGACTGTTTGTGTGTGTTATTAGTAGACTGTGCAGACTGTTTTTGTCTATTGTTGTGACTTAGATAAAGATCAGATCACATTTTATGAATCAGAATCAGAATTAGTTTTATTGCCAGGTACATTTTTACATACGATGAACATAAATATAAATATATAAAAAGTAAGGACCAATTTATGCAGAATTCAAGGTAATTCCAAAGAGTTCACACAATTTTTCCTGTGACTGTATTTTGGAGCCAGTCATGGTCCAGTAATCAACTTACACAAGGTCCAGTATTCAACACATACACTCAATTGATTTTCAGTAAAAGAGACTTTTAATGTGTAGTAGTTAAACTTTTAAAATGATTCTTCTGAACATCAGAATGAAAGAATATATATATATATATATATGTGCCATCTTTTATCATCAATCATCAATCCGTATTTTGTAACAAATACTACATATTGTCCATGGGTACAAATAATTATTTTCATTATCCATTAATTGTTTGGTTTATAAAACAACAGAAAACTGTATGAAATTGTTTCTTCACCATATTTTAAAACCCAAAATAATAACAAGTTTTTGTTTTGTTTTGTTCAATCAACAGTCATTTCAAATCATGTAAGACAAAAAACATCTCATTTGAGAAGCTAAAAATATAAAAGGTTTGACATTTCACTTGAAATATTACTCAAAATTGATAAATCCACTAATCCACTTTCACTGCTGCTCTGCAGTACACTGCAGATTTTGGTTAACCCTTATGACAATTATAAGATGCCACTGATTGGAATAACTTTTGTTTTTGCTCCAGCTTCTCCTCAAGGCACTGAATGATAATGGGGTCCACTTTGGGGTCAAACTTATTGGCAAACCAGTGACCATAGTTGAGTAACCAACGCATTTCCGCCGCACCAAAAATACAAACGCTGCGAATGTGTTGCCCTGTGCAAGGTGGGTAGAGGTTCTCCTCCAGGTAGTGCCACTTCACCAACCTGGTTTTACTCATAAGGTCAGAGATGTCAGGCCGGGATCTCGGCACCGCCCCGGGTACACCTGGCAGTCGCACAAGTGTGGCCCAGAAGTGTTCATCTGGTGAGTAGGTGTCCTCCGACCAGGCCAGAAAATCTTTCACCACAACTGAGGAGTTCATGTGCCTAACAAAGTCTCGTGACAAGACAAAGTAGGCATTGCCGGAGAACATCTCAATACTGTGTGGTGGTGGGGTCTTTATCTGCCCTGTTCTCACGGGCAGTTTTTGATATTCAAAGTTGGCATCTCTCAGCTCATAGTGAAAACTGAACCTCTGTTTCTTAGACTGAGAGGGTCGGCTTGTCTCCAACATATTATCTCCTTTCAACTTCTTAAGTTCTGACACCAGCTCGATATTGGACCTGAGGGGGAAATCTTGGCCACAGAGGTTGATGACATACTTCCACTTGACTTCTGACTGCAAAAGGTCAGACAGACAGTTGAGATCAGCTTTCAGTCGACTGATGCTCGCATAGAAGACAGACTCTCGCTTGGAAGCGATGAAGACATTGGGTAAACAGCGGGCTAATCCCTCCATAGCTGAGATGAACTTAGCTGAAGACTTCTGATCATAGTGGATGCAGTAGATATTACTGGGTGAGTACAACGCTTTGATGAGTCTCTCTACCATCCATGCAGATTTATGAACAACCAGCGAATAAGCAAGAGGAAAGTCATTCTCCTCCTCTGACATGCACACATCATCATAACCTCTGGACTTGATGAATAATGGGCAGTTTAAGGTGAGGTTAGCCAGACTTTCATCCTTGTCCTCCACAATTTGTTTCCTTCTGATGATCAGCGACTTACCCACCTCCACTGGGTCCATGTCATATATAGCCGAACAGTTAATACTGTATTTGTGAAATGTCTGAATGTCATCTGAAGCTGCTGGCGGAAGTAAAGAGTTGGTGATGTAGCTGTATTTCACACTGACCAATAGCAGGACACACAGAGTCAGCAGTGACAGGAGTGAAGGAATAAACTGCTTTCTTCTGAGTCTCTGTAATAAGTACCTTGTTTTCATTCTGTAGTGAGAGAAACAGAATGAGAGGGAAATGTAACTCAGACTTATTGAGTGTAATGGGAACACCCAGAAAGTGAGAAAAAGACATGAGAACTGAAAACTGGTGTGTGATTTAGATTACAGCCTGTAATGTGATATAAATCATTTGCACTTTGTAACAGTTCAAGGTAACAAGATGTGAAGAATAATGGGATAACAACATGTGGACTTTTTAATTTTTAATTTAATTTTTTAAATAACGGGTACCTATTCTGTCATAAAGGGGACAGTTTGATCTGCTGAGCAACAATCTGACAGGAAACTTAACAAAGGTTCCACGGTCTCAGCTCCTACTCACTTCACCAGCATAGGTCGATGGCGGACGCGGGTTCATGACCTGTCTGCAGCTCTCAAGGATGGCCATGCTCGTATCAGAATGGGTAATTAAAATCAAATGTAATTTCTCTTTAAGGGTAGCTAAAGTTTTTTTTATACAGAGAGAGAGATGTTTGTGGTATAGGCATCAGGTCAGCTCAGTTTGAGAGCCAAGAGATGCCCTCAGTATGAAAGTTGTAAAATGACTCATAAACTCTTCATGTCACATTTTAAACTAGACTCCCAAGTTTACATCATCTTATGCTTTTCTACTGTACTCCATGATAACAATGATTAGCATACTGCCTGTACCCTACCCAGTGTTGGTAAATAGGGTTAGTTTATGGTCATTCTGAAATAAATCACAGCATATTGATAAAATGCTACAGACGTATTTCAGCTTTGTTGCTCAGTAGTACAATCCGTAGGCCTACCCATAATGACAGAATAGCTGAATAATTATTTTTCCCCATTAATATCCACTTATTACCTAACTTAACATCTTGTGCAATTGTACCTACACGTAGCCTAGGTTGGCTACCTGTAGCCTGTACGGGTACATCGTTAGTGCAAAACAATTGGCCTATAGGCTAGCCTACTGTAAATTAAGTGGGAAGAATTACGCTGTATGTTGGGGGGCGTTATCTAAAGCGTGACCCACTAAAAAATAGCCTACTGTGCAATTATTAAACACACGTTCACCTTGTTCCATGGGCTGGTATCGGTTTGCTGAACGCCTTTCAAGCCGTGTCACAAAGTCACTCTCTTAAAGTTGTAAAAAAAAATAGAAAGAAAAAAGGATAAATTAACATTTTATTCCCCTGTTTCTGTGCTTAACTGATCAGACATTTAAGTAACATAATAATGAATCGTTTTCTGCATAGCAAAAAACTTGAGAAGCAACTTACCGATGTTAGGAGAAATAAAAGTGGAGTTTCGCCGCCCCATTCCACGTATGACATTCGACTGGACATCTAGTGACAGTATCAACCTGAACAAGCTCTCCATTAATCGCATTCCAGGGATGAATTTGCCACATGGTTATTCAAAGTACAAAAAGGGTCGAGAAGAAGCGTAGCCTAGAAAACGGTCTGAATGTCCCCCTGTGTTCTGTCCCCGTGGCGAGGAGAGGACAGCGCTGCGCTCTGGAGAAATAACGCGGAAAGAGGCTGGGTCTTAGGGTGGGACTAACTGCACTAATTACAGATACAAGCTGCATAAATGCCGTGTAGTTTTGTTACCCTCACTGTTTACTCAAGACTTTATTACACTTAGCACACTGTAGGCTATAAAAGTGAATGTGAGATGTGCGATAAAGAGGCTGCAGATAGCCTATCACTAAACAGATGTCACATCAGCTGATTAAAGGGGATTAATGAATAACGCGTGGCTGGTCATCTGAATTCATTAAAAGAAGAAAAAGAAAGAACTGCAAAGGTTTATGGAAATTGTGCCACTCAGGATAAAGTTAAAGGTTTTCTAGTCTCGTTTTTAATCTGTAAAAATATAAAAAAAAGTTATGGTGATACTCAGCCTCTAAAGATGCAGACGTTCAGGAAATAAACCAGCAAAACTTGTAGATGTTAATGAATAACCGGTATGTTTGAATCACTTGAAAGCATCTATTCTCTTTTCTTTCAGTCAGAAGTGTAGTTGAATGGTTTCATTTCTATAACTGAAAGAAAGTATATATACAAATGAAAGTCTATCACATTATGTTGAATACTGAAATGACTAAAATACTGTCAACAACAACGGGCTCTGCATTCAACACCATAGGCTAATTGTTGTACTTAGAATAACCGGGACCTGTGAGTGTGTCTTTGTGAGAGAGACAAAGCTGCAAAACTGAAATGCAGAATTAGTGACAAATATGATATAAGATATGAATAATATTTCAAACATATAAAATAATGAGTCACACACTAATGACACTGTGAGAGCTGGTTCACATGAAACTGAACTGACAGGTATCTAACAGCTAAACACCTAATAACACTGTGACAAAGTGGGTTTGCTCACCACTTGTCCCATACAGGTTATTATCTATCATCACAGACCAAGGCACCAACTTGCTGGGAATTCAAGGTGTGAAGACCAGCCCCTACCACCCACAAACAGATTGTCTGGTTGAGCGCTTTAACAAAACCCTCAAGTGGACGTTTGTGAATGATTTGGGATCAGACTGGGACCAGTGGCTCCCATTCTTGTTGTTTGCATACAGAGAAGTCCTACAAGCATCAACTGGGTGTTCACCTACTGTTTGGGCACTCAGTAAGGGGTCCACTGGATGTCTTCAAGGAGGCCTGGGAGGGTCCCATGCCACAACAGCAGTGCAGTGAGCTCTCAATGTGTTGAAGATAAGAGACAAACTGGACCAGTTCCAAGAGTTTGCCAATAGTAATCTGGCTGAAGCAGAACAGCGACAGAAGCAGAGTTATGACAAAGATTCTAGGAGGAGAGTTTTCCAGGAAGGCCAGCAAGTTCTGTTACTGCTGCCAATGTCGGACTGGGGGGGGTGACGTGACAAAGTGGGTTTGCTCACCACTTGTCACATACAGGTTATTATCTATAGTACACCTCCTAGTTTCTACAAGTGTTTTTGTTTTTTGTAATTTACCATAGCTTGTGTAAAAGTGCACCACCTAGCCTACTATCCCAGGTTGTTTGTGTTTGCATTATGTTACAGTCTACAGTAAAGCAAATGATAAGTTAAAGTAAACACACAGTCAGAAGTTAGTTTCAGTTCCACTTTATTAGGTTGCAAGTTTAAACCTGGGTTCATTGTTTTCCTGTGTTAATACTTAAAATTGTTTGTTCCTTTGTTCAGTTCGACCGTGCAGGACAGTTGTTTAGGGAAGGACCGGCCTAAGTATTTCCTGTTTTATAGGAATAGGGTGGTCATGGATGACATCACCGGGCCAAACAACGTAGAGGGTTCCTTCCTTTGGTGTGGGGCTGGAGCCAATCCCAGCTGACATCGGGCGCAAGGCAGGGTACACCCTGGACAGGTCGCCAGTCCATTGCAGGGCGGTTATTATAAATGTGTAAATATCCCTGACCTGTTTTCTAGTCAGTTGGAGCAGAGTGAACTGGTAACTGAGTTTCAAATGTTAAGAGATTTCTAGGTAGTAATGTTATGGAGTAGATCAACCTGTGTCAGAATAGGATGGGCTGAAGCAGTTTGGGTGTGAATTGAAAACCCTATATAAATGGAGGGATTTGTTAGTGATGGGCAAAGCGAGGCTTTGTGAAACACTGAAACGTTTGAAGCAATTGTGCTGGAATTGTTTCCACGGGGACACCTACTGGTCACTTTTGATATCGACACATCTTGGCAATGGTTTCATTGAAACAATGACTGACCTGCGTTTACAATTCTAAACGTCTTATTAGTACATGACCAACAGGATTTCGGAGAAATCACCATACAACAAACACACAAAGGCTTTCAGAGACAGCAGATGGGGACTGCAATAAACGTGTGTTTAAATAAAACACATCTGTGTGTTGTTTCATAAGTAGTCACTCATTTAGCCGATGCTTTTCTCAAAAGCAAATCCCAATTGCTGTGTCAGAGGGCGCACCTTGGGAGCAACTAGGGGTAAAGTGTCTTGCTCAGGGACACATGTATCACAGTGGGAATCGAACCCAGGTCACACACCAAAGGTATATGTCTTAACCACTACCCCCCCCTCATGTTCAGAATCGGAATAATTTATTGATCTCCGACGGTGAAGTCTTTGTTGCAGATACTGGCAGGACAGAAAAAGGAATAGGAATAATAGGTAGTTGAAGTTAGTGAGTAGAGAATATAATAATGTATACAAATCTAAGAATATAGGCTAATAATGATAATAAATGTGAATATCTACACTATTATACAGTAACTCATTTGTTATATGTCAAGAATTGTATTCAGAAATATTCAGCTGTTTTGGGGCTGAGTCGGTTTTTTTTCATTATTGACATCACCTGCCTTGGAAAAATTTGGTCACATGGAACATTTATTACTGGCAAACATAAATATTTTCTTTGCATCATATGCCTACAGGTGTGGATATACTACAGCACGTCGCTCAAATGACTGTGTGTCTTTGGAACAAATCAGTGAAATAAGTTTAAAGGTGATGTGCAGTTTCTTCCAAACACTGTGAATCAAGCGTAGAAGCGACAGGTGTGCCACTTGAAACTCGAAACAGGGGTGAAACGCACCGAAGCCTCGCTTCACTATGGTCACGTGACATTGACGTTTTGAACCACGCTTTGGAGCAGTGTTTCGAAACGTCTGTGCTTCGGGATCTTGACACAACGTCCACACGTCAGTATCGAGCGTCCCATCCCTTTACCCAAGAAGTGCATGTCTCTGTTTGAGCACAGGTGTACAAGACAGAGGCAAATTTCCACATTTGTGTGTTATTATATTATACGATTAAGAGCACAGAATAATTTGACTGCAGCAAACAAATAGGCATGGTTTGCACGACTGAATATAAATACATGACCATAAAAAATTCTACCTGCAGGAAGGCTGCATGATTTATTTATTTTTTTTGTATTATTCTTTACACTTGTTAAAGCACTTTGTAACTTGTTTTTGAAAAGTGCTCTACAAATAAGGATTATTATTATTATTATTATTAGTATTATTTATTTAGATAGAAAGAGAACCTTTTTAATCTAACTGAACAACATGTTACTAACTTGAGGTCTTCCCTCTCCTGTGGTCGTGTGCTATCTCGTCTCTGTCCTCTCTCCTCCTATCACTTTCTACAGGTGTTTCTGGCTCTGGAGTCTGGATATGTGGCTGCGAGTCACCTGCTGTCCTCCGGTTCCTGCACAACATCCGCTTAGACAATTATTTCTAGTTCTACTATTAAAATAATTAAAATTACTATTTTATCAGTACCATTATTAATTTTATTTACCAATGCTCAAGGGCGTCACTTTGTGCTGGAAAGTGGTGGGCTCATAGGGGCTCAGATTAGTGGTGTGAAGAGACATCGCAAGACATCACAATATGCAAAATAAGGTTCACAAGTACAAGACAAAAAGATCCTTAAACAGTGTTTTAAAGATATCCTCTTTTGATCTTTAAACACTTGATTTCCGGCTTTCTGGTGAAAGTTTCTGCAACAACTTATGGTGGAAATTCTTTTGTTTATGTAAAAATTCAGGTAGCACTTGACATTTCAAAATATATAAATATAACAGAATATAATGCAGTGCAGCTCTCAGGCATTCTGTGTTGCTTTCAGATCTGTTTCTCCTGGAGATCAACTCTTCTCATGTAATATCATCCCTACTGTGTCAACACATATGTAGGCATGATTTAGTCTTCCTTCCTCTTTTGTCATGTTCAAAGGGAGAGAACAGAAAATTTGGCCAAAAAGAAACTGTGTCAAAAAGTTGTTAAAGTTACTGATTGCTGCTTGCATGTTTTTGGGTAATTTTCTTTAACTTAAGTTACGTTACTTTTTTGGGACACATTTGTTTCTTCTATATTTTAATTGCATTGCATGTTTTCTTAATGTGCAAATAAACCTTTCCAAAGGCATTTTCAAATGTTATTTAACAGCAAGTGTTTTTTAAAACAAATTATGCTTTGAAAAAGTGATGGGGACATGTCTTCAGCGTCCCCAGTGTAAATGACACCTATGTTACTGTTTTTATTTTCTGTGGATATTGAGTTGCGTCTCTCAATTCAATTTCAATTTTGCTTTATTGGCATGACTGTCAATAAAACAGCATAACCAAAGCTTCAAGGAAAATAAAAAATTAACAGTTTAATTTATACAGTTCATCAAATTAATTAAATTAAATTAAACAGTAAGTTTAAAAAAAATCTCTTTCTCTCTCATAGGACATTGTTATCCAAGTAAGGTTAAAATGAAAGGCATTTGGACCTGGTTGAAGAAAATGTTTAGTTCCTGTGGGGTCGTTGTCATGATAATCGATACCTCTGGTTCGTTTGTGCTCCTGGAGGTTGTAAAAACAGTTGTTATAGTCATTGGAGTCGACCATGTTGGGCATCCTCACCTGAGGCCAAACATGAATGTTTGTTTTGTTTCTGGGAACGAATGAAAGCACAGCATTGGCGATGGCTACTTAAACCAGGTGTAAATGTCCTAAATGCTTCAGATGTAGGTAAACTGCTGAGTCTTGACTTGAGGAGTTGGCCCTTCTGTGTTGAGCCATTCGTTTGTGTAGTTTCCCAATATACAGGTCTGTGCATTCCTCACTGCATTGGACAGCTACACTAGATGTGTTTGGGTGTGCTGTCTTTAGAGTGGACCACTGTTAGTCTTTTGT